AAAACTTTATGAATTAAATTGCGTAAATGTAATTAATTTGAAAATAAGCGTATTGTATGAATGTGTGTAGATAACAATAGAAAATAAAATTTATAAAAAGCAATTGTAAATTAATAAGGAAGCTAAACTGTTTGCTGAAACCATTATTACAGTCCAAAATTTTTTTCATCGCTTTTGGTGTTCCAAAAAGTGATTATGAACGTGCTTTCATTATTTAGACAAACACTACACTAGGTTTTGTGGAGGATTCTAGACTAAATAATTTTGCGGGTATCACAAATTGAGTTAGTGAAATAGTTTACTTCCAGCGAATGACTATTTTATGGTTCTTACGTGATTGACTTGGACGATTTTAATTTGTGGTTTAGAACTGAACGTCAGCTGAAGATCAAACATTAAATAAAAGTTTTCCAAAAACAAATAAAAGTGTAGCGCTTTGATAGCATAGTTCAGAAAAAAAAAATTTTATCCTCGTGAATATTTAAAAATTAAAATAGTTTTGAAAAATATATGTATACTATAATTTGGTGGTTTATTTTAAGAATTATTTCCTATTATATGTGGAATAAGTGTGGTAGAGAAAGTTGTGTGTTGTATGAATGTGTTATTAAATTAATTTTAAAGTTTTCAAAACATTTTCTAGACTTAGATTTTAAGAATTGCGGTATGGCCGCACAAGCTGTGGCTAGAGGCTGGTCAATTTTTAGTCCGGACTTAGGTCTTGAATCGTCAAAATTTTTGGAATTTTTTGTTTTTATGCGAAAATAAAATGCATGGGTTCAAATTTGAATTTCACTATTTTTTTAAAAAAAAATTTAATAATATTTTCATTTTGAATTGAAAATGAAATAAAGTTGGGTCAAACCAATGGTTTGTATTGTAGCACTTTTCCCTTCAGCAAGTGAAAATACTGCTTCTAAATACAGTCTATGTATACCTACCACTCTATTAAAATTATTTTTATTCATAAATGAAACTATTTCTGGGATTGCATATAATTAGGGTGATGCATATATGCAGTCTTTGAAATAAAGCAAAAATTAATATAAACAGGTTTTAACATAATGCTCGATTTTAAGGGTTGATGTCTTGAGTTCAGAAAAATAATTATATTTTTTAATATCCTGGAATTTACCGTTAGCTTTTTGCGTTTATGGAAATTTGAAAAAGGTTGCGGTTTCCGAAATATAAGGTGTCAAAAATTCAAATTTTACAAATTTCAAGAGGCGATAACTTGAAAGGGGGGTATAGATGGAAAAAAGATTTCTTCTAACGAAATAAGCTTTTTATTTGTGCCTAAAATATGCTGAAATTTCAGGCTAATACAACTTAGGGTCTAGAAGAAAAACGATATCAAAAATTTGGAAGAAACGGATTTTAGATAACGGTAAATTTAAAGGCCATTTTTTTTTTTTAAAGTTTAACTATAATATGCCGCGATAGGAGAAGCAAGCCACTGCCTTTCTGTGTTTGCTAAATACTTATGGTTTCACTACAATAAATGGTTAAAAAATGGAATTGTTAGGGTTTTGAGGGGGTATAACTTCTAGAGGGGGAGAGATAGGTAAATATTTTCTTCTACGGAAATAAGTTTGTCGTAAAAATCTATGTACATATAAAATTTCAGCTTTCTATCTTCAAGGGTGTAGAAGTTTTGTAAACATGTCCACGGACAGATGGACGGACACACAGAGTGAAAATAATAAGCACTTTTCTTCAAAATTTTTTGGAAAAGTGCTAATTAATAAATAGTTAATTAGGAAAATATTAAAGAAGAAAAAAAAATACAAAAATAACAAACCAGCATTTTTTTAACACTGATTAATTTTCTTTTGTTGAAAAACTTTTTGTATAGAATTTCAATTCACAATATTAAAGGATATACGAGTATAAAGGATCATTGTTGTTGGGTTTTTTTTCTTATTTATAGAGCAATTATGAATTGTAAAGAAATAAAAATGAAAATTCAATTAATTTTATAAAATAGCAAAAAAAAAAATTATTTCTAGTTATTTTTCATTTCTTGTGATCATCCTTTTTAGTAAATCAAACGATTGTAGTTTTTGGTTTTCTTTGCAGCAAATTTTAAATGAAAAACTTTCTGAGAATAAGTTGTTAAAAAATAAGAACGAATCAATAATTTTAAATAATGAAAAATAAAAAATTAATATTAACTTTTTAACTTTTATTTCTATAGTGTTTTTGTTCAGAAAATTGAAAATCAATTCACTTTTGGTGAAAAATATTTTGTTAAAGTTAAGATGTGATTATAAAATCATTTTTGCAATTGAATTTTATGGTATTATTTCTGAAATATTTAAATGGTGTTAGAAGAGTTTGAGAGTAAATTTAATTCCATAATTAAAGGAGATTTTTAAAGACACCATGTTAAGTTACTCAAATTACTTCCATAATCGAAGAATTGACGATGCCGGACTGTTAGTATTGCGGGAAATTGCAAATTGTATATGTAAAGAATGTGTATAAAAGTCTCGTCGCTATTGTGCGAACTCGGAGTAAGGGATGAGACTACCATACACATCCTTTACAAAAAAATCTGTACTGAGTAGTGTCCTGTTAAGAATTTCCGGTTTCAATTCATTTGCAATAGCTCAATGTTAACACTCTTGAGTGAGATGAAAGAAATACAGCTTCATATCAGAAACTCTCCTCCTCTCAGAGAAGCGCCAGTGAAAATTGCTTTCCGCCTTAAACAGGAAAGCAAGTCTAGTTCGGCAAAAAATGAGAACTGTCAAAGGGGTAACGGACACACAAAATAAAACCCAGCCCGCTTTAGTGGTAGCTCATAGGCAACCACATATTTACTCTGACCGGGAATTCAATTGAGTCTCACTTAATTGTTGTCAACTGAAGGGCTCGCCGGACCGTTCTAATTTTCTTAATTATATTTAGGTTGGTTTCATACTCTCTATCTAAATTAATTCTCAGACAGACTTCTATTGGATTGGATGTATTTCAGATTGAAATACCGGACAGTACTTGTCCAGGCTGGTACATTTATCCGTATTCGATCGGACACAGTGTATAACCAAACTGACATTCGAATCTGTTATGGATTCGTTAGGGAACAACATATTTGAATTCAGCTTACACTTACATCACTCTGTTTTTGATGAAAAATAAAAGTTCGTCGTGGTAATTCAACATATCGAATCACCGGCAATGAAGTTTCTGTGAGTACTCCTACTTTTGCCTTGTTCTGTATTCGACAGAGACAAATTGGTAAGTTGTCAAAGAATTTTTCCATATTTTTTCGGTTACCTCTGGGTAGCCTAGTCTTTAAAGTTACTGCAGATTCTGTTGCACATTCATTAAATTTACCTTTCGAATTGGTAAAAAAAAAACTCCAACTACAATTATTATCTTCGTCTAATATAAAACGTATGTAACAAAGTTTTTCTAATAAAATACATCTAGGGGAGAAGAGATATTTTAAAATAAATCAAAATAGCTAGTTTTATTTTTATTTATGACAAATATATTAAATTCCCTTGTTATTTTTCATAATAGCATTCACGATTTGTAACACAATTAGGTGTAAACAGATGCATTAATATGATAGGAAAGCTTATAATTTTGTCTAATTGGACACGTTGTGTAGGATTTCTAAAAAATATACATATATTGGATATTAATATTTTGTTAACAAATTTCCGTTCTAAAGCTTATTCTTTATGTATATATGTACATGTCATCTGGAGCTCTTTGAATTCTTGCACATAATATATACATATATGTATGTGTATACAAACTAAAACAAATTCTGTCCATTTGTAATTTTGATTTCATCATAAATCAAATCATTTTATATTTATTATTTGAATGAAAATGAGAACATGATATTTCTATTTAAATTCTGTGACAGTTTTGTAAATATTGCATTTTCTTCAATGGCCCTCCCACCATCTTCTCCAACATCATTATCATCAGAAATGATTTATTAGAATTTTCAATTTTTTTTTATTTTTCAATTCTTTTTGCTTTTTGTGGAAACTTTATATCTCTGTTAAATGTGAACATCGCACTTTAAAATTCATGAATTCATTATGCTCGAATAATATTTATGTAGGTATATGTATGTACATAAAGAAAAATAATTATACTTATGCGTATATTTGTAAATGTATATGTACATAAATATATTTAGGTGGTTAAAAACAAAAAATTTTGTAAATTTATTCCCATTTGTTTTTATAAGTAGGTCTCTGATTTATAAGTTTTCAATTTTGTATAATTATTTTTCAAATCAGAATTTTATTTTGAAATTTAAATTATTTTGATTTATTATTTTATAATCGTTCAATTAAACTTATTAAGTAAAATTTTTGAAAGAGGAAATGAAGTTGATCCAAAAAAAATGATTAGAATTATTTGCTTTAATCTAGAGATTATCGTAAATTAAATATCAAAGCAATATTTCACGAAAAGTAATCGTAAGAATCTTATGTTTACCCGTTGCAATGGGAGTGTAAAAATGATTGGCTTCAATTTTGATTTAAAAATCAAAAGGCACTCTTCAAGTATTACAAATATATTTAAAACGACATCACATATTTTTCTCTGTAATGGAAAATCAAAAATATCTTAGCTGCAATCGTGAAGAGTAATGACCAGAGTAACTAGTATAAACTATTCTAGCCAAATTCAACCACGACCAGATGACTGCTACAATCTTCAATGTGTAAACAAATTTAAAATTCCTTTGTAGGTGCAACTTTTTAAGAACCCTGTTCTTTAAATTTATTGATTTTGTATAATAATTTGTGTGGAATGCAATAATTCATATAACGAGTGTATAACTGTTATACACTCGTAAATAATATGAAATAGTATACTCGTAATAAAACATTGTTATTTATAATCTCAGTCATGCATACATGCACAAATATTAAATTTTAATTAAAATTTATTTTAATATTTGATTGAATTTATCTTGTAAATAAAATAATTTTCTTGTTTTTTTTTTTTTGTATTTTCAGGTAAATTAAATGTAAACATTGTTAATTTTTGACTGGAGGTATACAATTAAATCAAAAGTTATTAAACAGATATGAAAAACAGTAAGTAGGTTTATTATATATTTTGTTAAGTTATCTTATTAATATTATAGACGTTATGACTAGAATTAAGCAGGTCTAGGTTTATTGTGGTATTTTTCGAATTAGAGTATACGTCTAGTGAATCTATGAGTGCCACATATTTATAGATTTGAAGCAATGCAGACTGAAACAGATCAAAAGGTCCACCCAAATGGTTATGGAATAGAGTGTTTGGTTGATTGGAAAACAATATAGTCATGCCAATGGCGGCGAGTCAATGGCTGACGTAGATGTTTCATTCTCTCTGAAATGCTTTAAAATAGAATTTTGACGGAAAACATCTATCATAATAATCGAAATAATGATCGTATGATGACTTGTTTTTCTAACCAGTACCATTGGTCTCTGCAGAAACTATAGGGCGGAATGAGTTTTCCGTTTGTTTTTAATAATTCTGAATAATAATATTTTTTGTATTATAAACGGAGGTATCTGTCTTTTGGTTTTTCGGTGTATGGTGTTCGCACGCGCTTTTCAAGTTCGGCTGAACCGATTTTCATAAAAATTGATAAATGAATTTGCATTGTCACGGATTGATCGGATTGGACCCTTCAGTAACTTCGGATAGCGCAAAGTGAACTTATACTTAGAGCCAACATTAAATTTTTCTGGGTGTATTAACCAAAAATTTACTAGTTCCCCACAAATTTAATTGAAATGAACGGTAGAACTTTCAATTAACTAGACAATAAACCTTGCGTGCGGTTATGTGCTGATCACATCAAATGTTTTTTATTGTTGTTATCACAGACAACTAGATACTTTTATATATATTTTAAATATTAAAGCTGTGGAACTCTATTTAATTTCAATTAAAATAATATGACAAATTTTTAATTATGTTAGTTCATTATAAAAAAAAAATAAATTTTTCTACAAATTAAAATTAATTGTACGAAAATTAATTTTAAAGTCAATATTGTTAATAATAAATGATTCTTTGGGATACTGAAAATTTAATTAAAAAATATAAATAAAAAATTTGAATTGATTTATTTTAATTAATATCATTATTTTTAAATAATTTATGAGTGATTATTTAAAATTTAATTGTATACATGTAATGCAAATTATTTTTTATACTAGCATTATCCTGGTTTTAATTTACGATATTTAATATCGAAAATGTTTAAAGTTCTTAATAAAAATTGTAATTGAAATGATTTTGAAAGAGAGGAATATGACGTTTATAACTTTTGGAGAGAAGTTAGAAATAAGGCGTTTTCTAACTGAACTATTGAAAATTAGTAATATGTATCGGAATAGAACGATTTCTAGAATGCTGTATAATTTTAAAAGTACTATTGAAAAATTAATTTGCATAAAGTAAATCCTTGTTTTCATCTTAAGTTTTTGAAATAATTCAAGTGTTTAATTGAAATTTTAAAAAATTTGTAATATTTTACAAAATATATCAAAAAATCTTGAGTCATTAATAATATTAATTGTATACGTAATATATGAAATTCTCAAATTAAAGAAGCACAGATTTAAAAAAAAAGAAAAAATCTCATATTTCAGTGTGATCATTAATCACAATATCCTAATTTGCCTTCACTTCTTGTTCTAAATAATTCCTATCAATTAATAATGCTCTAAATTCTAAAATAATAAATAATTTGAAAACATTTTAAATATGGTAGAGAAAATTGATGCTCTACATGTCTACACCAGCACACATGTTCTCGTATACTTGTACAATAATCTCTTTGTTTTTTTTTTATAAAATAATTAATGTTATGCACAAATAATAATTGTTGAGTCTAATATACAACAATATTCTCTATGCAATGTATTTTAGCTCTCTTAATAATATACAAACTAACTTGATTTAAAGCATTCGTGTAGATAATTTTTAAATCCTTGAGAATATTGAGTATAAATTTTGTATAATAAATTCTTCCTTAGAATATCTATTCGTTTTTTTCTATTTATTTATTTTCTTTGGATTTTTGATTGATTTTATTTGAAAGAAATGTATACAGTAATATTGTACAAGTATATTTACTTAGACATTGTATACGAAAGTATCAGTTACATTGGTATCGTAATTGCTATCAGTATTATTAACAGATAATGTTCTTGCTCTTCAATACTTGTACAACAATATTGAGGAGCATAAAAATATTGAAGTTTTCTCTAAGTTTTATTTATTTTTTTGAGAAGTATGGTAGGGGAATAGAATGTTTTCCTGTTCCATTTGATTTGTTATTGATGCGATTTTATAATACTTGATTGGTTCTCTTTGTGAATATTGGAAATTTGCATATTATATACACTATTATTCTATTATTATTTCAATGTTTTATTAGTATATACAGTTTGTATTTTATAGTTTTAGTTATAGTTTTAAATGCATTCAGAAGGATAATTGTATATAGAAATGTAAGAGTTAATTTTTTTTAATATTGTGCTTATATTGTATTCCATTTTGCATTTAAATCCTTGAAGGGGTTTCTTTTATTATAAGAAATTTTATGAATATTCAAACTCATATAAGAAATTTTATGAATATTTCCAAAACTTTTAACTAAAATATTAAGCAAGGGTATGTAGATAAAGTGCATTTGTTCTAGCAAAGTTATTTTCCTTATAAAGTTTTAAGATATTGCAAAAGTGTAATTTAACCAGTGCATTTACAAGGTTTTCAGAAATTTGGTTTTAAAGTGTGTTGGAGTAATTTTAAATAATTAATATTAAATTTCTTATTAAAACCTTCATTAACTACATTACGATATTTAGCATTTACGGTTGAATTGAGTACACGATTAAAAATTTATAAATTATTTTGTCTTTTGTAAGACTTCTTTTTCTAAATTAAAGTTCTTATTTGATCTTATTAAAATTAATTCATCTATCAAATTCGGAATTATGTTTAAGAAAATTGTAAAATCAATTAAAAGTTCGATGTTGTTTTATCAATCAATGATCTTCACAATTTGTTATATTGCCATTAGTTGGTTAACTGGACAGTAAGTTGTTAAAAACTGGAATATTGAGAGATCAAATGAGATAATTTGACTAAAAGAAGGGAGAAGATAGGTAAGAATTTTCTTCTTGAAATTTTTTATTTCAAATTTTTTTGCAAATCTGTCTAAAATGTTCAATATCAGTTAATATAATTAATTGACTGCTGTTTTTTGCAATTTTTTTGTTATTCATTTTAAAAATCACAATAATATTGTTGTTTTTCACTAACTCCATTGATGTTTGGTCTATAAATCTTAACTCAATATCAACAAATTTTCAAATTTTTATTACAAGTTTTTCATTTAAAGGTTATAAAGCCACAAAATTTGTTTTTCGCCTCCTTTTGAATAGCAACATTTACATTCATACATGTATAATTGCATAAATGTAATGAAAACATAAAAAAATAATCATAAAAGATTGAAGGAAAATTACTTTTAATATTTTATAAACTAAAATGGTGGCATGATAATTGTAAAGAAAGCGTTATATAATTTTTTCTTATATCTCTTTTTTCTCTCATTATTTCCGTTATTATTATTAAGAAATTCTTTTAAAGAAAATCTGAACCAGATTAATATAAAAGCAGGTGATATCACACCGTTACCATAAGTTTTTCACCATAATTTAACTACATTTCCGGCATGGAAATATTTTAGCGCATCCAAGTATTTGTCTAACTGTATCCAAACATTTTTGTCTACCTGATGTGGTCTTACGTGATCTTGGTCTTACCGTTACATACAAATATACAAAATTTAATTAAAGATATTTTGCTCATGCTTTTTTTTTCTTCTTTTATGCTATAAATGTACGGCAACGGCATAGAGAAATGAGAAAAAAAATTGCAATGAAAATGATAAGAAAAAGAATGACTTTATTTTGGTTTTCTTTAGAAAAACTATGGATTGTAGCACTATATTATGTAGAGTATATGCATTTACTATATGCCTTCATTTTGCATCTTCCTTTATGATATCGTACCATATACTCATCTACGTTTTCTTATATAGATAAAGCGCAATCAAATCAAAGTTGTTTTTTTTTGTCTGTTATTTTTTCATTGTTTGTGTGTTTTTGTGTGTGTGATATCTTGCAATACCCTGGATACTGACATTTCTTTTGTAAAATTTCCAACTTTATATTTTCTTATAAAAACTTTTATATATTTTTTTTTTTTGAACTGTCTTATCCTTGAAGGAGCAAAAGATAAAAAATTATATTTTTAAAGGTAGCTATATATGAGAAAGCAAATGATATTTTTATATATGCAATGAGAGAATAAGTTTTAATCTAGACGAAAAAATAATATTATTGTATATTATATATATATACACTTGTAATATGGTATATATTATTGTATTTTACTTTATAATATTAAACGACAAAAACCCTGACAGCCAACTTTAATCAGTGAAGAGATTATTTTATTATAAACATTTCTCTTAAAAAGTCTTAAGTTGTATAGAATTTCAGAGCGTCCAGTATAAGCATATATGGAGAAAGAGAATTGATAAAAATGTTTGTAACTTGCAATTAGCAAGAGATTTTATTGAGGTTAAAGGTAATAGAACGAAGAGTGGACGAGAAATGTTAGAAGGTAATAGAGTTAAGAGAAGACGAAAGAGTAATATTATTTGTTTTGCTTAGTTTGTTTTTAATTTAGAAAAGGACAAATAATATTCTATTGGTTTTTATTGGAGCAAAATATATTGATTAAATTTAAAATTTGTAATTCATAATTTTTCATCTTTTTAATGTTTAATCATAGAATTCGGTATATAAAATCATACCGACTAGACTAATAGAGCATTAACTTTAATCAGTTTAAATTTTTAATTACTAGAAATTGTAGAGCATTTATTATTCGATTATGTTCCTCATCATATTTCAGATCTTATGTTTCAGTTTAAATTGAAAAGTACTGAAATTGTATAGTATTATGGTAGTATTCTCTTGTGTCATAGCTGAATCGTGTGTATTTGAAATTC